TCAGAATAATACGCAACACTATCTGCAGACATTTATATTACGCAGTATCTGAAATTGATGCTGTTTGTCGTTGCTTACAATCAGTGGAGTACCCAAGGGTTTTCACTTTTGTACTTTCTGAATAGGAAGATACTGTGTAGACACCTATGCATATACATTTCTAAATTACTAACTCTGATATAGCCGTACATTCCAGTCCCTTGTGGCGCAACTCGGGGAGGGGGGGGCTTGAGTAGCAGGAGCTACTTTGGGGAAATTACAGTCCGAACCACCCACGACAAATCCCCAGTGCGCCTCTGGTCGAAATTGTTGTGAAGTTAATGCTGCATTTACCAAGAAAAGCAATATTTTAGGTCAGAGCCTTATCCTTTTCAATTAAAAACATACCTTTTCCATGCCGTTAATTCCAGGGAATGTGTCCCTCTGGCCGGCAGCTGAGGTAAGTGAGGTATCCTCACCTAACAAGCAGAGAGACGAGGGGGTCGAGGAATAAATGAATAAGGCAACCCATTGTGTTCACATTCTCATGATGTTTATAATGTACAGTGAAATTTATATATCTCTGGAATGGCACATATTTTCGGGCAAATAGATGCACAATAAGCATGCATGCACTAGTTTAATGAGTGACGGAAATGCGTATCCGGAGGGGGAGGGTCATTGGGCAAATTTCCCCCCTGGAGAGAGTGTTCAATTTCTCTCTTGCCTTTTTCTCTCCCGCTTTGTTTTAGGAATTGAAAATTCTAGCGCTTCAGAAACGGTATCACCACTTTTGGCAGTGGTCGAGGATTCTTTTACGGATGCAAAAAAATGTTGCGAATTTCTCTCGCTCCTCAGCCAATTAAAACCTATATAGGCCATATTTCACTTGTTGGTACTGTTTTAAATAAAAGACATACTTTCCTGATTTTTAATTAAAAGAATTAAGGTTAACGTTATTAACTTTGGAAAGCAAATGGTGTCGTTTGTCTGCAAAATGACAACTGCAGTGACAATCTGCTTGAATTCTTACAGACAGCTAAAGAGCGCACGGCGTACATCTTCGAGCCCTCCGCATCGTCAAATATCTCAGCGACCATTCCATCAATTTCAGCCTTCAGACGATCTGATATGTCCGTTTTAGCAATCAGAGCAGTGGTCCTTCAAGACACGGAAAAGGCAAAGTAAAATTTTAAAAACCAGTTATTTTCGATTTGAAATTTGGGCTGCATGCATGGAGTCATTTTGCGAAAAAATAGGTTGTAATGTTATCTACTGACGAGCAGCTATAAAACAGACTTTGAAATAAGCTGGACAAGACACGAGACAGTCGTTTTCAAGTGCACAGACCGTGATCCTTTTTAGGTCACCTTTATTTTCAACAACAGAGGGCGGTATGCACCCTTACTGATACAGGGCTTTGGTAACATTGCCTATCTTGGGGGGGGTGATGCAATATGATGTAACCAGTAATTTTGTACGCCTTGTAGTTATTATGATTCTTGAAATAGAGTCTAAACACAGAGAATTCCACGTTCTTCTGCCTTTACAAGTTTAGCTGAGCGCCCTCACAGCAGTTCCATCCGGGGACTTTACAAGCCATGGCCAATTCTCTTGCAGTTGTCTCGGATGTTACCTCCTCACTGATGTTCACAAAAACATTTGATTTGTGGAGAAATTTTCTAAGCCCTTGTTAAAGACGACATGAGGAGCCTTGCGAGATATCTTAAAGATAAGGTTCCTTGTGCCTCGTGAATAAGGTCTACCAGGCAATACAATCGAATAAGCGGTGGACAGGTTGATGCATGTTGACACGTAAACACTTGTACAGCGATAAAGATTTCATATCCGTTCAGTTTTTGCCACTGTAGATATTCCTACCAACCATGTGAGATTCTTTGAATTGTCTCTTACCCGTAGATGCATCCGAAAGGCAGCTGTCGTAATACAGAACCCGGACGGAACTTCATACTTCGAAAGATCAGCGCATGTAGGGCAGTATTCAAATTGAGTTACTGAATCCAGCAGTATGAAAGCAGTGTGATGAAAAGTTATAGTGCAACAATGTCTCCATTTACGTTTAAGTTTTGAAAAAAAAAAGAATAAAAAAAGTTCTCCACAGCATTTTATCATAAATGCCCCCAAATGTAACCGTATCTGAGGGAGAAAAAGGTATTTAAATATAACTTGAAGAATTGACATTAAAAGTATTTGAACCACTGTAGCATTCAGCCTCTGTCTGTTCCTTATTACCTTACCTCGACAGGTTGCTGTCTCCGCAGGGCCAAAAGTTTGGCCAGTTGGGATCCCTTCCCGCCTGTCAGGCTAGACACTTGACACGAACTCGCCGTCAGCGAAAATATCATAGGTTCCTGGCTTGTCAGTGAGGCAATATCTGCAATGAAAACAATTCTGAATTCAAGTTGAAAAAATAGATATTTCACAAACTTTGAAACTGTAATCCACTACAGTAGAGGTAATGAAATGTTTAAGGGTCACTGCTTTCCCGTAGTAGTTCCATCTTATGATTTCAAAAACTCCAAATGACAACTACATGTATACTTGTAAGTCGGGTCTCGATGACTTATTAAATCAAGACAGGAATACTGTTTAGTCAGCAGTGCCTGACTTTGGTCAAATTCACCAATGTCTGCCTTATCTTTGACCAATAAATGTTCGTCATTGGCCTGGCTGACTAATTTAAATTAGTCATTGGCCTTTCTGACGAACTGAAATTGGTCATTTTAGGCATAGAGATGGACTAACGTTTATTAATCAAAATGACTAATTTCTGTTTACAATGATTAATGCTATTTTAGTATTACCCTTATAAAGCCAACAAATCGAAATTGAAATACCTTTTCCTGTATCATGTCACAAACATAACTGAATGAAAGAAAAACCCTGCTTCATGTTGTCGTACACTTACCTGGTTCTCTGTACAGCTTTGGCACCGGTAATATGGCAGGAACCAACCTATTCCCAGTAAACCTGCAATCAGGAGAAAGTTAAAAAGGCTAACTGTAGCCTATTACCACGAAAACTATTGCTTCTTCGACCTTTCCTGGAAAGGAACTGGTAAAAATACACCTGTGACATAATGACGTCAGGCTTTGTTTACATGACAGCTTTTTTATGGCTGCAAGGTGAGACGCGACCCATCAAGTCCATGCATCCCCGAAGGAAAGTGCGCGTGTAAACAAAGCGTGGTGTCATTACGTTTTACGTCTTTTCGGTTATGTGGAGCATCAGTGATCAATTCTTTAATGCCACTTTCTTCAATTGAGATTTTGTGAAGCTGTCCTGGAAACTGTAAGAAATCAGCTCATACGACTGAAAAACGCCGAGAATATATTTTCTAATCACGCATTTTGTGAATTTTATCACGTTTGAATCTAAAGTCATGTATTTGTGATGGAGCGGTGACGTCTTATATATGTACAGCAATTTTTCAATATCTTTAGTCAGGCTTCGTTCTTCTCTGTAAGCTCACCCCGTAAGAGTCTGGCGCACGCCCCATTCCTGCTCTCCATTTCCAGAAAATCGACTCAGTCCCTCAGATAGACGCACGCACCAGTCGCTCCCCATGTTAAAATCTATTGTAT